ATTGACTTTCTTACAGTATAGAGCTCAATTTTTGATACTGAGTTGGCAGAAGGGAGAAGTAGAGATTTTCTTTTTATTAAAACACATATTTACATGACAGAGTAAACCATTGGCTTTTAAACAGTGCTCTAGAGTGGCTGAGAGTTTCCAGTGGTCTTTGTCAGAGTGGGTAGGGACTTGGTGGCTGGACTTCAGTTCCTTTGTGCTTCTGCCCCTTCTCACCTGCTTTTCCCTATCTGTCACCTCACCATCTTCAGCTACTTCAATCAGAAGAGCTTCACTTTTATTTGTGGGGTTTCTCAGCAAGATTCCCTTTTATGAAAAAAAAGTTTGAAAATTACTGGCTTCAACAACATGTAAATGTTATATTAACTGTTAGCACACCTGTTTGATTTATTACACCAGCATCTTCTTAGTCCAAACCCCAAATAATGGAACATGTCTATCTAGGCAATCTCATCTTCTTGATTAAAAAAAAAGTTTGGACCAATCTGGAATAAACAAATAGAGAATGCTCACTGTGGATGAGGCTCTGTATGCTACTTTGTTTGAGGGAATAATAAAACACATAAAATACAGCTCCTTAACTTCACTTAGTTGGAAAGATAAAACAAACATATACAATAATGAAAAGTCAACAGAAGAACTGTTTCAGTAGGCAGTATCCGATAATTGTGAACAAGATCACTGCATGCCAGTCCAGAGGGAGTTAGAGGAGAGAAAGCTCATGTCTGATCCACCCTCTAGAAGGCAGAGAGGGCCTTCTAGCTGATGGCATATTATGTTTAGGTTTCAAGTTCTATGAGTCTAAGGATTAAAAAAAAAACCCGGAAAGTCCTTTTATGTTATGGATTATTTCTGTATCTTTGAATTATCCAAATTCCTAAGTGCCTTTAGAGACCTTTTGGGAAAATACAAAAAAAGTTTTAATAATGATCTCATATTCTTTTTCCTCCTTTAATCTGATAGCATGAGGTCTGACACGAAAAACAAAGTCACAGAGTTTTATTTTTGTATATGGAGGGTAAAATGTTTTTATTTGGACTATTGCACTAAGCAGATGCACTGTTAAATTAATACATAACAAATTGCCCAGAAAACTGGAGTTTTTGTGTCTACATGTTTTACTTTGATTTTGGTCCCTGTCATTGCCTGTTAGGTGAAGTTTGATTCTGTTTTTTCATTATGTCTGGGTTTGAAGGACTTAGTTCTATTCTAACTTCATTTAAAACACTCTTAAAGCCATTTTTCAGTGAAATCCCACCTGGTGAACTGACTCACCTCAAAAGGAATTCCAGAAATAAGAATAATCATGCCCTTTCTGTCATTGATGTAATGGTGTTTTTCAGCATCCTTTAGTAGTCGTGAGTGGTGTTTTGGAAATCCTAGATATCTGACTGCGTTACTAACCGCTACTTTCTAAGGGGGACTCGGGAAAGAATATCATTTTAGGAATATTATACTTTTTAACTTGAGAATGTTATTTGTTACCACAATGGTAATTTAAAAAGTATAGGATTTTTAAAAGTGTTTCCGAGGAATATAACAAAATATATTCAACACACTCGTTCTAAAACATACAGATTCCTTAAAGTAGACTGGTATAAGCATTTTGATAACTCTTTAGCTTGTCTTTTTGCAGTAGCTTAAAATTGTAGGATTATTAAAATAGTTACCATCTAAAGTGGCAGTGTTAAAGATTTACATTTACAAATTCGCCTTGCTTTTATTTATTTTTTTTCTAGAAATTATTTCTTCCTACCAACTGAGCTAAAACTCTTAATTTTGTTTTGTTTCATATTACAGACGATTTGTATAGCTCTCCCTGTCTTCATTTTGCATATTTTGGAATTCTTCCTAGGAACTCTTTTGATCTAGATGTTGCTTCTAGGTAACATGAAACTAAATATCTTAGGTTATAAGCTTACCTATGTTCAGCTCAGTTAATTAACTTAGCTTCTTCCTTAGGCAAAAACTGTCTCTTGGCCTAGAAGTTCAATAAGCTTCACACGTGGTTGCACGTGAATTGGGTTTGTGTAAAACCAGATTGTTTTAGTTAAAGTAATCAGTGTACTCAATGTTCTACCTGGATATTTGGCAGAACTGGCAAGACGATCGCCAGCATTCCATTCAGAGGCAGCGTCTATGAAGCTGTCAGGTTTTGTTTTGTTTTGTTTTGTTTTGCCTCTTTGCCTTTGCCACAGTTCTAAATTTCTCTTCACTATTAGGAAATCAACTCTAGTCTCGTAGTTTCATATTTTATTCTAGTTTTAGTTTTAAAATTAGTCTTTTTTGGAAAGTTTTTTTTTTTTTTTTAAGAGAAACAGGCATTAATTATAACTATGGTTTAATTACAATTGATTAAAAGGTGAATAATCCCATTTTTGGTCAGTGTCTAAGTCAAAGTGCTCTACATATTTTATCAGCTATAAAAACTGAAATACTTACCCTAGAGACAGGCAGCAAGTATCTGACCAAGAGTTAAAAGATAGTAATCATCTTAACAGTAATTACCATAAGGAATGTTAAACGACCTGAAAATAGTCCATTGTCTTGATCAAAAACAAATTACAAGCCTGTTCATAATAGGTCATTGTCAGCTGTTTTTACTGGAGCACAGTGTTTAAAAGCAGAAACTCTGGAGGCAGAAAATTCTGGATCAAATCTCATACTGCCCCTGACTGGCCATGTGATACTGAAATAGTTACTTCAGCTCTTAAAAACCCCAGCTTCCTCATCTAAAATCTAATGATAGCCTACTTCATAGATGGATTAAAATATTTAGTATTATACCTGGTTCAAATCAGAGTTCATTAAATGTCGGCTCTTATTATGACTACATTCAGTTTATTTTGCATTATTATATAAACGTATTTCACAATTTAAAAACCTTTTGTTCACAAATGCGTTGTCTAACGATCACATCAGTTAAGAACATGGTGGCCATTGCCAGCTGAATATTTTGATATATTAGGAGTTACCCACAAAATGGGCTTCTAATTCTATAATCAGAAGTAATTACATTAACATATTTGCAAATTTCATTTTATTTTTTTCTATGAATATATTATGGATTTATTGTTTGAAGAGGGCGGCTTATATTGTGTATCTACCTTTTAGTTTTCAGTGTTATGTTGCAAAAATGATTTCCTAAAATGGTCTTCAAAAACACAATTTTAAGTGACTAAATAATGTTCTATTATATAGAATAATAAGAATGTAACTGATTTAAATATTTCCCTATTGTTGGATATTTAAATTGCTTGCAATTTTATTCATCATGAATAACATTGCCATGAACATCCTTCTACATACGTATTTAAAAGTATAATAAATACATTCTAATATATGAATATTTTAAAGGAATTTGACATATCCTAAGTGCTTTGCTGGAAATCTGTAGCAATTTACCTGCCCTTTAGTATTGCCTCATAGATTTGTGAACCCCAAATGAAGACTTTCTTTTTTTCTTTTTCATTTTGATTTGTTACTCCTACATAGTAAATGAGTGAACTTTTGCTAATTTTCCCCAGAGTTAATGCACACACAAAATCTGCCCTAGCTTATTTGACATTTAGCTGCATATCTCGAATCATGTGGAAGTTTCAATAGTTATAATTTATTTCTGAAGGAATTTTAAGTGCAACAGAAAAAGGTATTGAGAAGAGAATTATATTACTGAATCTAAGAGATACAGGAATTTTAACATGGCTAATCATTACAAAGAACAGAAAGGCCGGGCTACAGTTATTTGTATTTTCTGTCCCAGTTTCAAAGGTGAAAGGCAACCAGAATGAGAAAATGGATCATTATTGGTCCACTGCTTTGTCCTTTGTGTGAGGTATATTTTCTTTGCATCATAATTCAAAACTATCTTTTCAGCCAAAGTATGTTTACTGGATGTCAGATTTAATGGGCATATGGCCAGTGGAGTTTATATGAGAGTGCACATCACACATATAGCCTGAGTATGGGATTCAATCATTCATTCTTCAAATATTCACTGAGCACCAACTGGGTGCTGGGCCCCACTGTGAGCATGTCCATGAGATGAAAAGAAAAAACCTTTGTCCCCCTGGAATTTATATTTTGGTGGGAGAAGTCAATAATACACAAAATAAATACATTCTATAATATGTTTGGAGGTAATAAGTGCCACAGAGTGAACTAAGACAGAGAAGAGCAATAAGAATCTTGGGTAAGAGTGAGGGTTAACACCGTTGAATGAGTGGTCAGAAAAGGCTTCCCTGACAAGGTGGTTTTTTGAGCTAAACTCGATGGAGGTGAGGAAATGAGCTATGCAGATGCCTGGGGCACGTGTTTCCACTGTGTTCACTACTGGGGATCCAGGCATGTTTGGTTGGCTGGGGTATTGGCCTCACAAAAGCCTTTTCGAAGTAGGTCCAAGAAATCTGAAAGAAAACGGATGTTAAGAGAAGAAATCTTTACATAAAATGAGCTTGATCCACGTGCCATTGAAGGGGTGGACAAAAAATCCTGATGGGAGCTCTTATTTAAATCTGGTTCTGGATATGTCTAGAAATAACTTTGCTGCCCATGCACCATTAGTGCAGAGTGTATCACAATAGAAGAAAACCCATGTGGTTCTTGAACTGTGGATACTGGGGGGTTTGATGGGTCTTGGGGGATAAGGACCACCACCAGTGAAGAACTCCTTCTCTGCATGAAGAGAGATGGAGGAGCCAAGTGGTTATGGTGGCAGGAATCCTGAGCTAAAGCTAGCACATAGCAGAGCACAGTAGGCTCCAAGGGAAGGGAGGACATAGAAAATACCCTTTGGGAACTCGCAGGGATGAATGGGTGTGGGGGCTTTATAGGCATAGAGGTTCTGTCAGAGTAATTTGCCTATGAAATTTACTTACATCTAATATATCTGCAAAGGCAAATACATAGATTTATTGGATAATGTCTTAGCCTTTTTCAATGTTGAACAAACATTTTGATGTAAATACTTTTTCAATAATTTTTTCTTTCTTTAGCCCAAGGATACTGAAGACCAGCTCATCAAGTTGGCAACAGGAAAGATCAACAGTAAAAACCAGTACTAATCTCCATAGCAGAGGAGTGGTGACTAACAGCATAAATCTGTAACTTAGCAAACTCACTTAGAAAAACTGAACGTGAATGATCACAGCTCTTATACACTGCTGTTTTTACCTGGTTTTTGAAGACCAAGTCATCAAGAGAGACCTAGGTCAGGGACAAAAGACTTTGTTGCTAACAACAGCAAACAGCTGGAGCATTTGCATATTTGGTGTCCTATCTCCTCACTCTTCCTGGGTCACCAGGTGATACCTGCATGTACAATAAGCTGTGTTGCAGCATAGAAATCCTGCACTTAGGCAACCTGAAGATTTCATACAGGACAAGAAGCATGTGGGCCCATTGTTTGAGAGAGAGACTCTATCTTCCATGACTATTCACTACAAACATCCCCCATGACTGCTCACTATGCAAATATCCTTGCAAAGGTAGTTTGGAACAAAAGCAGTTGATGAGTCTACTTGCAAAACATGCAGAAACGTGAGAGACAACAATATACTCCACTGATTTTAAGAAAGTAAGTCAATTGTGCACAACAAACTTTATGATTTTCTTCTTTTCAAGACTACATCTTGCCTGGAAGAAACTCTGCCAGGAGAAGTTGCCACATGGCAAATTCTCAATTTGGCATGCCCTTGGGACTGTTAGCCACATATTTCAGGGCAGTGTGTCTTTTCTGCTGTGGTACTGAGAGCACAGCCCCTGTGAGCAAGTATTGCCAATGTTCTTCAGCTACAGTCATTATAGCTGAACAACTTGTAAAAAGTGACTCCTTGCTTATTATTTTCTCTCATATACTCTGTTTCATATTCTGTAGTACTGAAGGCATTTGATCCTAAGTAAGTATATCTAGCTATCTGGTTACCCAGTGTTCTGGGGTAGAGCCTGAGATGATGAAGAAGAGATTGCTGGAAAGGGCGTCTGACACAATGGCCAAATCATAAACCATAACTCCATTATGTCCTATTTTCATATTGAATAGGCAATGAAATTGTATTACCTGTCTCTACAATGGAAAGAAAAATCAATATTTGCTGTTTTTTTCATTTAATGAATGTCCTTCTTGATCTGCCCTGCTGATGCTACTCCCAACACTTTACATTAGTATGATAGGAAACAGTGAAATTTGTGAGATGGGCCTGCATCTTTAGAAGGTGATTTCTCATATAAGTCAGTGAATATCATTTTTAAACAAGTCATTTGTCATTATGGCAAAAAAAAAAAAGTGCATCATCAGGATAAAGCAACATTATGTTATTGAGAAAATATTTCTTCTACCGCCTCCTAGATTTCTGGGAATTATAGTTAAGCGTGTATTGTGTAATGGAAAAAGTGCTAGATCTGGAATTCACTTCAGCTCCGCACGACTTACTTATGTGGTCTTGATTAAGCCACTTAATGTCTCTGACTGGCAGATGTTGATATTTTAAATAAGGAGAATAATCTTTGTTCTGTTCACCTCACAAATTCATAATGATTGTTAAAATGAACAATGTACTATATACATAAGAAGGTGCTTTGGTAATTGAGTCTGATATAACTGTAAAATGGTGTTACAATTACAGTCATATTTAAATAAAGTAGGACCTTTTCTTAATATTGATATTGAGGAACGGGTTTAATATGTCCTCAAATTTTAGTCTTTTGCAACATAGGAAGCATAATCTGATCCATAAAAGACAAAATCCATGTAAGAATGAGTAGCATTCTAGAGTATGTTAGGAGAATCTAAGTAACAACTGGACAACGTTGCTCTCACTTTTCAATAACATGTTTTTCTTAGTTGCATAATCCCCAAATGTAACCAAGAGTGGTGACTGAGTAGTCTATTCAAATTTCCTGGAATGTCCTCTGCAGTCTCTTCATCTGAACCTTCTGAGATAGTATCACCCCTCAGTTTATGACTCCAATCATAACACTAATGTTTTTTTTCTTTTTAACAATTGGAAAAGCTTAATAGGAATCAACAAATATACTTGGGGTGGGTTGTAGAAAAAAGAGCTTTGTCTCTCTACATGCAACTAGAACAATTCATGGAAACCATGACCTACAAAGCAACCTACAATATCTGCTTTTGTTTTAAACTTAAAGATAAAACTTACATCCACAGTTGATTCCTTGGATTCTAGTGACTTAACACAGAGAATTGGTACTATATACACAAGTACTGATTTTTAAAAAGTAATTAATTCACCACTTACTTATGTAAGTTCTCATCTTGAAACTAGTGATGGCTGACACAGAAATATTTCTAGGATCAAAACTGAAAGCAGGTAGATGCCGTGGTTGTGTAACTAAGAATATTAAATCTGCTTGAGTTGAAGATGTGTTGAGGTTGCTGAGATTTGGTTCATTGAACAACTGGGTGAAGTAAATATCATAGTTTAGATATGACTGCACACTTGGAATTTCTTTTAGCAGCTCAATAGGTGCTGTGTGAGTGTGTGTGTGTGTGCGCGCGCACGCTACGTGCCTAATTTATAACTCAGGTGCTAGTTCTTTCCTTGGACATCAGGAACCATTGGTCTCACTAGAATGGTATTAACTAAATTTGAGGGAACAAATGAGAATGATACAGAAGGTAAAAGGAAGCTCAGTGAAGCAAATATATTGAGTCCTGTTTCCTGGATAAACTTAGATCAGTCAAAGCATCTCAGCATATCTGGAATGCTGGCTAATACCCAACTTGGGGAGGTCAGAGTCACCTTTTGGACATTATTCAATGCCTAGACTAAGTATTCCCAAGGTCACTGGCTTTCCTGAGTGATGTAGACTCATGATGGAACAGGCATAACTCATTTTATCATACTCTGATTTATCGTGTGCCTCACAGATACTGCTTTTTCAAAAAAAACAAATTGAAGGTTTGTGGCAACCCTATGTCATGCAAGTCTATTGGTGCCATTTTCCCAATACACATGCTCAGTTTGTGTCTCTGTCACATTTTGGTAACTCTCACACCATTTCAAACTTTTCCATTATTATCGTATCTGTTATAGTGATCTGTAATCAGTGATTTTTGATGTTACTATTTTAATCATTTTGGAGTGCCAAAAATCACAAACTGAATTGATAAATTCAGACAGCAAACTGAATTGATAAATTTTGTATGTGTTCTGATTGCCCCACTGACTGGTTGTTCCCCTATTTTACTCCCTCCCTTTGGGCCTCCCTTTTCCTTGAGACACAACAATTTTGAAATTAGACCAATTAATAACCCTACAATGTCCTTCAGGTGTTCAAGTAAAAGCAAGAGTTGTAAGTCTCTCACTTTAAATCAAAAGCTAAAAATGATTAAGCTCAATGAGGAAGGCATGTCAAAAACCAAGATAGGCCAAAAGCTAGGGCTCTAGCAGTAAACAGACAAGTTGTAAATGTAAAGGATAAGTTCTTTAAGGATATTAAAAGTCTACCCAAGTGAACACACAAATGATAAGAAAGTGAAACAGTCTTCTTGCTGATATGGAGAAAGTCTGAGTGGTCTGGATAGAAGATCAAACCAGCCACAAGATCCCCTTAAGCCAAAGCCTAATCCAGAGAAAAGTCCTAATGCTCTTCAATTCCATGAATGCTGAGAAAGGAAAGGAAGATTCAGAAGAAAAGTTGAAAGCTAGCAGAGGTTGGTTCATGAGGTTTAAGGAATGAAACCATTTCCCTAACATAAAAGTATAAGGTCAAGCAGCAAGTGCTAATGTAGAAGCTTCAGAAAAATTTCAAGAAGATTTAGCTAAGATAATTGATGAAAGTGGCTACACTAAGCAATAGATTTTCAGTGTAGGCAAAACAGCCTTCTGGTGGAAGAAGAGGCCCTTTAGAACTTCCACAGCTAGAGAAGAGGCTTCAAAGCTTCAAAGGACAGGCTGACTCTTTTGCTAGGGACTAATACAACTGGAGCCAATGCTCATTTACCATTTTAAAAATCTTAGGGCCCTTAAGAATTATGTTAAATCTACTCTGTCTGTACTGTGTGAATGGAGCAACAAGGCCTGGATGACAGCTCATCTGTTTACAGCATGGTTTACTGAATATTTTAAGCCTGCTATAGAGACCTACTGCTCAGGAAAAAAACACTCCTTTGAAAATATTACAGCTCATTGACAATGTACCTAGTCACCTAAGAGCTCTGATGAAGAAATACAGGAGATTAAAGTTGATTTTTGTGCCTAACACAGCATCCATTTTGCAGCCGATGAATCAAAGATGAATTTGAATTCCAAGTCTTATTTAAGAAATATTAATACATTTCATAAGGCTATACCTGCCATTGATATTGATTCTTCTCATGGATCTGGGCAGAGTAAATTGGAAACCTTCTGGAAAAAATTCACCATTCTAGTTGCCATTAAGAATATTTGTGATTCATGAGATGAAGTCAAAAGAGCAACATTAATGAGAGTTTTTGGAAGAAGTTAATTCCAATCCTCATGCATGACTTTGAGGGATTCAAAACTCCAGTGGAGTTTTGAAAACTTGAAAATGTGAGGAGTTGCTTCTTATGGATGAGAAAATAAAGTGGTTTCTTGAGATGGAAACTACTCCTGGTGATGATGTTGTGAACATTGTTGAAGCGATAAGAAAGGATTTGGAATATTATATCAACTTAGTTGGTAAAGCAGTGGCAGGATTTGGGAGGGCTGACTCTAATTTTGAAAGAAGTTCTACTGTAGGTAAAATGCTATCAAACAGCGTCATGTGCAGAGAAATCTTACATAAAAGGAAGAGTCAATCAATGTTGCAAACTTCATGTTGTCTTATTTTAAGAAATTGCCACAGCCACTCCAAACTTCAGCAAGCACCACCCTGCCCAGTAGCCATCAGCATCCAAGGAAGACCCTCCACTAATAAGCTTATGTCTTGCTAATAGCATTTTTTTTTTTTTTTTTTAGCAACAAAGCATTTTCTTTCTTCTTTTTTTTTAAATTAGAAAGAAAGGTGTTTACTGCATGCATCAACCCATCATCTACACTAGATATTTCTCCTAATGCTATCCCTCTTCTAGCTCCCAACCTTCTGACTGGCCCAAGTGTGTGATGTTCCCCTCCCTGTGTCCATGTGTTCTCACTGTTCAGCTCCCCCTTATGAGTGAGGACATGTAGTGTTTGGTTTTCTGTCCCTGTGTTAGTATGCTGAGAATGATGGTTTCCAGCTTCATCCATGTCCCTGCAAAGGACATGAACTAATCCTTTTTTTTGGCTGCATAGTATTCCATGGTGTATATGGGCCACATTTTCTTTAGCCAATCTGTCACTGATGGGCATTTGGGTTGGTTCCAAGTCTTTACTATTGTGAATAGTGCTGCAATAAACATACGTGTGCATGTGTCTTTATAGCAGCATAATTTATAATCCTTTGGGTATATACCCAGTAATGGGAGGCTGGGTCAAATGGTATTTCTGGTTCTAGATCCTTGAGGAATCGCCACACTGTCTTCCACAATGGCTGAACTAATTTACACTTCCACCAACAACATAAAAGCGTTCCTATTTCTCCACATCCTCTCCAGCAACTGTTGCTTTCTGACTTTTTAATGATCGCCATTCTAACTGGCATGAGTTGATATCTCATTGTGGTTTTGATTTGCATTTCTCTAATGACTGGTGATGATGAGCTTTTGTTCATATGTTTGTTGGCCACATAAATGTCTTCTTTTGAGAAGCATCTGTTCATATCCTTCACCCACTTTTTGATGGGGTTTTTGTTTTTTTCTTGTAAATTTGTTTAAGTTCCTTGTAAATTCTGGATACTAGCTATTTGTCAGATGGATAGATTACAAAAATTTTCTCCCATTCTGTAGGTTACCTGTTCACTCTAATGATAGTTTCTTTTGCTGTGCAGAAGCTCTTTAATTAGATCCCATCTGTCTATTTTGGCTTTTGTTGCCATTGCTTTTGGTGTTTTAGACATGAAGTCTCTGCCCATGCCTATGTCCTGAATGGTATCACCTAGGTTTTCTTCTAGGGTGTTATAGTTTTAGGTCTTATGTTTAAGCCTTTAATCCATCTTGAGTTAATTTTTGTATAAGGTGTGAGGAAGGGGTCCAGTTTCAGTTTTCTGCATATGTCTAGCCAGTTTTCCAAACACCATTTATTAAACAGGGAATCCTTCCCCCATGGCTTTTTTTTGTCAGGTTTGTCAAAGATCAGTTGGTTGTAGATGTATGGAGGTTTTGGGCTAAGATGATGGGGTTTTCTTCCAATACAATGTTGAAAAGGAGTGGTGAGAGAGGGCATCCTTGTCTTGGGCTGGTTTTCAAAGGGAATGCTTCCAGCTTTTGCCCATTCAGTATGATATTGGCTGTGGGTTTGTCATGAATAGCTCTTATTATGTTGAGATACGTTCCAACAATACCTAGTTTATTGAGAGTTTTTAGCATGTAGGGGTGTTGAATTTTATTGAAGGCCTTTTCTGCATCTATTGAGATAATCATGTGGTTTTTGTCATTGGTTCTGTTTATGTGATGGATTATGTTTATTGATTTGCATATGTTGAACCAGTCTTGCATCCCAGGGATGAAGCTGACTTGATTGTGGTGGAAAAGCTTTTTGATGTGCTGCTGGATTCAGTTTGCCAGTAATTTATTG